CGTCAACAACCGGGAAAGTTTTTTTTCCCAACGCGGCAAATTTCTCTCAAAGGCACATACGACCCCCCCCCTCTCCCAACAACGACCAAATACGACCCTCTATCTGTTTCACACAACGATGCTGTACCCTGTCTAGGAGCACCAAATATTCTGCAGTACAGCGATGGGAGGGCGGGAGGGGTATACGGTGGAGATCTCGGATCATCTATGAATAGCAAAACCATTTTGCGGAATGGGACGGGATTTATATAGCGCACTTCAAACGGAAAAAAATTCAACGATCAAAAGAAATTGCCCAGCAGCAGCACACTACCCGGATGGGATTCGCAATAGGTGATGATCGCCGTTCTTAATGGAAGCGGAATGCGTGGCGCACTCTAGAAAGGGATTGATCAACGTCAGACCTTCACCACTTATCAACCTTCACATGAAATGTAGTATAAGTAAGCAAGTTGAGAGTCTGAGTTGGTTCGCTGCGGATGATGGGGCGTGTCAATACAGCTGGATTTGATGCGCCATTCTTTACCAGTTGCAGAAGGGGGTAGGCGACAAAAGCTGGTTATAGACAATGATATGATTTAGTCTTGTCGCTTGTTGGAGGAAAAAAGAAAAGGAACGGGCTGGCGCGGTGCAAAACAACCTCTCCACCCCTGACATGCCCCATCATCCGCAGCAAACAAGACTGTAACATTTTGAATGAAAGGTTCAAGGCGCAAAATAGTTGCTGAAAATTTCCATCTCCTCTTATCTGCCTTGTATATTGGCCAGTCGAGAATAGCACCCCGCTTCCCCTCCCCCTCTGTGAGATTCTAATCGGTCTCTAGACTGAAACTATGGAAACACGATTGAGATGTATCGCCGCATCATAGTCTCGTTAGCGGCATCGACGTATTAGCGATGACTGTAGCATTTGCGATCGCGAAATTCAGCGAAAGTGTGGCTAATTGTCAAGTGGCTGGTCAGTGAACGAATTTCAATGGTTTAGAACCGGTCCTAATAAGTAAGAAATTAAAAATGATGGGTTCTGAAACTGTTCTGAGCATTGACCGTATGCCACGACAAAGAATACATTTGAATAAAACTGAAAAGGTGACTGCATTTTCAAGACAGCCCACTCTCCACTGTTGACCTTGACGACCTTGGGCTCATGGTTGAACATGCGGGCAACACACTGGTCTCACGTCCACTCACCATAAAGTCATCAGCGCTAAACAGTCCTTGAACGACACATTCAGCGAAAATCTTGCATCGGTCTACGCTTCAAGAAATTGCAACTTTCAACGACCGTTCCGCCGTTACTCGTCTAGATACGAATGCCCGGCCCTTCATTTCAGGGGGGCAGCCAAACGATGGGCGAGGTTGCTATGACGAATATCAGCCTCAGCATATTTGCCACACTTTTTCGAGCCATGAAAATCGTACAAGTTCTGCTTTTGCGAAACAGATTACCTTGCACGAAAAGGGATTCTAATTACCAGGTGATCGCAAAATGTGTCTTTGAGTTGCCTGGAACACTAAGCACAATTGCAAGGGAGCTTCTTCTTCTCCCTAGCGTTAGTCCCGCGCCGTCGCAGGGTCCGCTGTTCTTGTTAGACGTCGCCACTTGTTCCGATCCACTGCATCTTCT